GTGGTCTGTCCTGATTGGCAATATGCGTAATGCTCGTATTGATGCGTGCTACACGTTTGCTGACAATATACTACCTAATTTCAACCGTCCTCTAGACACTGACTGGTGTGCATGCAAATCCCACTCCTCCACCCGTTCCAAGTACAAACTTATCCCGTCCCTCTTACCTACATACAGAAACTCTTTGGTACCCTATCTTGTCCGGATACTGACCGACAAGGAGTGTTTGTTCTGAGCTTTCTAATGCATTTAGTAATTAACTCATATTTTCGTACGCTCCACATCCGACTTTCCTCCTGTTTTTACCAGAATTGTAATGGTGGTCTATTTTTTGGCTGAAAGCTTGTATATAACTCTTTAAAGCTTGCATACAATACAACACAATACAGTGACATTCAAATCTGGATTTCCACTTACTTTCATTAGGATTGACGTATCACTACGTATTAGTTACGCAAATATTTTCATCCTTTCATTGAATAAATATTCTCGCGAATCAATTTCTTTAATATAAATCACATCGTTTATTACCTGATTTTGTAAATTCAATAAGTCAGCACTATCCGTAGCTGATGAGTAGTAAACCTGAGTGTCACATTCGATACCTTAACAACTAATTAGTGAAAGATGCTCAGTAGATGGGTCGCATGGATTATTTGATGTTTTTTTCGTGTTCCATCCCGTCAAGCAGTAATCCAATGCTAGGTAACTCCCATATTATTGATGTAAATCCTTGGAATATGAACAACCGTTCCAGGAACCGTCTTCGATAACCCAGAGAATTTCGCATGACTTAAGTACTGTTGAATCAGTTATTCCACAGGATGCGTGCCACATAGTGAGCAGTCGGTGTTACAAGTCAGAGTATGAATTAATTTGAAGAATGTCTAATCATAGATAATCTGGAGAATAATAATTATCTGAATAATTTTTCACTCACATACGCTAACCGAATCAGATATGCTTACCTGAACAAAAAACGGAGACCAGATTAAATGAGATCTAAACGTCGCTTTTATCGCGAATTTGATGTGCTTACTAATGAGTAGTCAAGCGAAGACTTTCAAATCAACCCCGAGTGTCAGACACTGGAACAGAACCAGCAGGGAGCAAATTCATGCAAAAAGTGACGCAACTAAATGGTGTTCAACTCATTCAAAACAATGAGTAGGTTGCCAATTAACGAAAGGCTCAGCTATTCACTGGGATGAATCAAAGAATCCCGGTGGACATCTCTGCTTTCGTAGAATTGTGATTTCAAAATTGATTGGAATGACTAACCACAGACAAAGAATTTGGTTTCTTTGTATTTAACTGTTTGTGTATAAACTGTAGTCCAGTTGAATAAGCTGACTGTATAGCAGGCTCCAAAAATAAAATGTTATTAAATTGAATATTTGTGAATTCAGGGGAGGGGGTTGTCTCACAGTATATCGGCATAATTAGTAAACATTTCGCACATTATGGTAAATGTTCACTAATTCTGATTTTTCAGTGATCTAAGAAATTTTCTAATTTTGACGGAACTCCAAAGGCTGATTATCAAAAAGCGCTTAGAATCAACTGGTAACAGATTGCTCTATTTCTCTTCGGAGTGAGTTCGTTTTCCTGTAGGCCTTCTGATGATTATAAAATATGGTACAAGGGTGTCCGAACAGTCGTTCAACAACTAATGAAGTTTTAATTGCAAGTCAACCTTTGGAATGATTTAGAGAAGACAAGTTATTGACTGAACAAATCAATTAGGTATTTTTTAGCTCATGTTGTCAATATTTAAATTTGCCCTCTAAACAAGGAGAAGGCAAAACTATTAATTGAAAGGTTGATAACATTTTTGCTTGTTGACTGCACTCAGTTTTTACTTTTTTGTTGCTATTAATTTTGAGATCTCACACAGGAAAGGGTTTGTTTAACTCTATTGACTTTCGTTTGATGCCACATTTCAAATTTTCTCCACCCAAAGACAATCTGAATCTTTGGGGCCTCAGCGTGAAGCCGAGAAGCCCCAGTGGAAGCCAGTTCCGAACACAATCACTTTAACCCTCTACTCCACGCCATAGCCTGCCACCTCGTTATTTCTTCCAGTTCAGAACAATACCTGAAAAAAGCTCGGTATAGCAAACAATGTTCAGGCATTCATAAGATGTGCCGCAGGCAGATGATTTAGTGAAATGGTTCTGCTCAGTGGAAGACTATCTGAGAGTCATTTGAACTCATGGCTACTCACGCGATGCTTCTACCATACATCGGCGATGTTGCGTAGACAATGATTGTCGACGACGGATAGTCGATGGACATGGTCTGCTCGGAAAGGCCAAGTCTGGCAGCCGTAGAGCAACGCGGTGAGTACCGCTGTGCAATACACATTCCTCTTCACTGGAAGGGATATGTCGAACCAGCGGATTAGCAAACGCCTGTCTAGCTTTGGTTATGTGTAGAGAGACCTGTTCGCCCAAACGATAAGCAGATATTTCTCATCCACGAAATTTGTAGTTACTTCGTAAGGTTTTACATTTAACCCTGGCACATGAAAGAAATGACGTTCGCTGCCACATAAGTTGAAAATAATTGAATACCATCAGCGCTGAAATTTTCGGGAATCAAATTCGTAGTGATCTCATTTTTTATAGCACATTGGTCATCCTGCAGCAGTTTGCTTATGTTCAATGTTTATTCTCTCTCAAAAAATGTTAAATTGGTGAATACTCTAGCGAGGTTTTGTTATCTCAGCTATAGCCATAAACCTTTCTAAGCTTATGGTGCAGTGATTTGTTTGGCACACAAACTGAACTCGGGTGTGTGCGACAATCTTTATTTATATGAGCATTTCAAACTCCAACAATCGTTAAGTATAGTTTTTAACTCATCATCCCTCATATTTTGAATCAAGGCTCAGTACTCAATCCAATCATTCGGTCATAGATGAGCGAAGCACAGCTCTCGTGTCGCCAATGAATGTCAGTCCTTTTAGTCATTTCAGAGTTTATTTATAATTGAAAAATGATCTTCATCATCACCAACTAGTGAAGTTGAGCATCAGATTATGAACTAAAATGTGAAAACCTTTTTCACTAGACAAGCGTGATTTTGTTCAGTGTCTTTTATTGAACAATCTGTTAAGTCACTTGCTTTCATTGCGTTCAACCCTTTCGGCCGGCGGTAGCCAAGTGTCTAAATCACCAACTTGTGACCTGGGAGTCCCNCGTTCAAACCGCTCCACCGCCGCCCGCCTTCTCAGGCAGCCTTTGTATGGCTCAGCCACCCCCCTCCTTCCTGTAGGTTGACTGTACACTTGTATATTAAATAAATAAAAGAGGAATTAAAAAGTCATCTATTATTTACTTAAAGTGCGACCTCGAAAACTGATAACTACTGTGTGTGGATAGTAAATGCACATTAAATGTTCTGGCTACCTCTATGGGATTAGCTACCAGGTTTTGGTGGAAAAATCACTACATGACCAGAAAATGTCGTCACGGTTGAAAAATTGCTGTAGCGTCGATGACAAAGTTACGAAATTTTCCTGTACTATAAAATGATATACAATTCATTGGAGAGCAATTTCAGCAAATTTCTAAACACCATGGTATATTCAAATCTACACCTTTTCCCATCAAGCTTTAGCCATAACCCGAAATGCTTTAGCCAAAACCCATATTCTTTTAGCCTTGACCTACATTCCTTTAGCCAAAAGCCGCAATGCTTTAGCCACGACCCGCAGTCCTTTAGCCTCGACGCACGACCTTTAGTCACACCGCTGTAGGCGAGTCGGAACAAAAACTATTGGTATATTCTGAGGTCAACGAATGTTGAAAAAAATTATATTTTACAAATTTTTATATTGCAAAGCTTGACTAATAAATGAGGTGTGACGATCGTATGCTGCGCAGTTGACTGTAGTAACGGTATCAAATACCGCATCACATAGTGATTGGAATAGGTTTAGACGATGTTCCCGTATCGTCAAACCAATTGGTACATCTCGTATGGCTTCAGTGTTTTCAGTGAACCAGTTTTTAATGTACTAAATGATAAGGGAATTAAAAGAATAAAATCTCTCTCATCTGTTTGAATTTACTGAAGACCTCTTCCAATGGATTGAAAAAGGGACTATATGGTGGGAGAAATCGGACATGCTGGTTGGCATTTAACTGCGCATCCAAAGCTCTCCGATGAACGGGCTCATTGTCAAAGATAAAAACTACTGGGACACCCGGTTGCTCAGCAGCGATTAGTGTAGAGCAACTTGATAGGAATCCATTGAAAACATGCCAACTGATCTGGTTCAAATTGTGAATTGCCACAGACTTCTCAAACTATAACTTAATTCATGCTTCAGCCAACAGCCACAATCCTCTAACCTTGACCATCATTGATTAACCACAAACCCGCATTTCTCTGGACACGACTCCTCTCCCCATAGTCCTGTTTTTTAACCTTTCTCTTAACAGTCGCACAAGCTTTAATTGCTGTTTCCCATTCACATGTGAACTTGGTTCATGAGATTAGGATACGATAATATATCGCGGATAAGAAACATCGTTCACAAAAGACTTTCGAGATTTTTATTCACAGGAGTAGTGCATCTCAGATTTTCTCCGCAGTCTCGTCATGCGGCATTCGATCATCTTTGACAATGCGCCCGTTCATCGGATTTACTCCTTATATGTTTCTCCTCAACTCTTACGGTTTGACGTTCCAACATATGTTCCACCATGTTTTTTCGGTGAAAAGACTTATTTTAATTGCAATCATCAACATTATCTATTTTTCAGATTGTTATAGTGAAATGCACAAATGTTTAATACTGAAAAATTAAACCGATGCTCAATCAAGGGAAGTGGAAGAAAATGACTTTTTTGAAGCGCATGGAACAAGTTCATTGAACGGCGTACTGCTGTGAAAGTATAAATCCGGACAACACTGTAACACTTTCGACATATTCTGTTCTCCGCTTATACTCTGTCAACTCTTCATTCCTCTCCTACAATCCATCCTGTTTACAATTCACTTTGTGCATCATATTGAACCTTGCGCAGTTCGGCCTGGGTTTTCTCTTTTTCCTGTACCACCTGCAATGTAATTAGGCACAAAGTGTTACACCAAGTAATACGCATGTTAGAACCAGACAAGTATTCGCTTAATAGAAACAGCAAACAGGAAGAACGGTGAAATGCAAAGAAAAACGTTCGGAGATGGAGATAAATTACTATAACAACACATAAGTTAGTACGATGTCGGACAATTCGCATACCAGAGCCGTTCATGAAACTATTAAATTAAATCCGGAAAAAAGAACCCAGATAAGTGGTAGTTCGATCAATCCGTGCCCGACCCGATCAGATGGATAATGCAGAGAAATTTTTAATTCATTCAGTTTTAAATCACAGTTCTAATCAAGGGTGATCTGCAAGCAAGTTACGGTACCAATTGACACGTGAATATTATTATGTGATGGGTCGTCTAACCGCTTCTGCAATACAAAAACGACTATGATGATGTACACATGTGGAGGTATACTGATTTCAAAAGTAAAGCGGTCTGGAAAGCAAGGAAAAGATGACTAGAGTAGTGGTAATCTGTCAAAGTTCGCACATATGTTCATCTGAAACTGGTGATAAGAGAATATCATCAGGCAATAGTAAATATGTTCTTGGATGTGACAGTTTGCTATTGAATCAGAGTTTGGCAACGCAAATCCCACTTTCAGTTCATGGAGTTAACTTGAGACAATAACTGCCATGATTTTGTGTTAGATGTAAATGAGTATAACCTCAGCAAACCCAACTACAGGGTCGATTTTCAGTGCTTTCTTATACGTGGTATATGAATGACGGAGTAGAATCTCGCGATCTTTGTCTGCCCGTTAATTCTGCAACACGTAAAACAGAATCTTCGCCATGACTCTCCGAGGTTTGCTTGTCTGAAATTAATTCCTGAATCGTAAATAAGAGTTGCGCTGTCCAATTGTTATACGGAGTGTAAGTGTAAGAAGTGATCTGGCGAGAAGCTGTAAAAGATGCACACCTTACGACAGGCAAGGTCGCTACTCCAGTCACGAGCTTCTGGGAAATTTTTCTCAAGCTGCTTACTATTGAATAACTTTGTCTACCTAATATAGGGAAGCTATGCTGAAAATTCCAAAGCGTCCCCTCGTAACGAGACGTTATTTCGAAGAAAATGCAAATCATCAGTCATTCCTAACGAAACCAAGGAAACCTACTGCACCAAACATGCATAAGAATGCATCGACAATGAAATGAAGAGTTTGAAGTTGTTAATAATTTTCGTGTCCATAAGCATACGAAACTATAGAGATGGTTGGCACTACGTGTATCTGCTTTTTATGCCACTGGAAAATTCCTCCAAACTTCAGAGTATGACTTTTTCCCACGTTGATGAAAAGGGTTTACAACTGTTCTCGTTGTGCGCATAGCAATACTATCTTAAACATATGCGTTTCATTTACCACCACCTGCATAGAACTAGTTACTCGGAAAACGACATTTGATTGGTCAGGTAAATTTAATCAAACCGATTACGAGTGTCCAGGATTGATCTCATAGAGTAGCGAAAAAATCGGGATCAGATAGATCGAGGTTTAAAAATTTTGTAGAGCACAGCAACTGACCTCTTCGTAACTTTTTCTGAGTTGCTCATATTCTTGAGATAAACGAAGCATCGACTTCTCCGTATTTAGACGCTTGGAATTTAGGCAAGCGCCGGCAGCCAGCTCAGCTCGTTCTAATTTCGCTCGAAGTTTCTCGATCTCAGCTTTCATTCTTTTGGTTTCCTCTTGTGATACTGGTCCTGGAGCGCACTTGAGACGCTCATTTTCTTCCTGGGTTCGTTGCAATACACGCTTCAGTCGAACGATAATTTGTTCCAGTTCTTTGGTGGATTTCCCACTTTCTCCAACCTATGTCATGTATAATTGTGAGAAAGATATGAATGGTATATAAACATCCACGAATTGGCCACAGATTGTGCCTCTGAGTCCCAAAAGAATGGGCCCTGTGTATTGATCAGTGTTCTAAACCTTTTACTTGTTCAGGTTATGCTTGTCCCCATCTGTTGTAAACCACGGGGCAACGATATCCACTAAAATAGTAAATTTGGATATGGGAGTAACCAGCTCGAGAAAAATGCAAGTATAACTAATCAACCTTATAAAAACATGGTGTATCGTTCTTAAATATTCATCGAGTTAAGAGTAAATTGTTTCTTTAGACTACCAGTTACCCGCAAAAGTATATGTAACCGGGGAAATATGACGTGTGATTCATGATTTTCTGAATGAGGTTTCCAAATACCAAGTTCTGTAAAATGTGCATTACCACGCACAAAATGTAGATTAAAAGAGCAAGGCAATAAAATTTGCATGTAACATCGATTACATGCGCATTATTTTGAGAAATATTTGATACCTTTTCAATGAACGCAATACGATGAAACACGAGAATAGTCACTCATTTGGGGGTGCCTTGCTTTACTAAGAGCAGCTAGACTAAAGATAAGTGGTGCAACCCTTTGAGAAAATTTTAAACTAGCCTAGAAAAATGTTCTTTTAACACCCTAAAAGACAATACAGACACTTGTTGAACCTGCCGAGTCGAAAGTTGAAAATTTTACATGGAGTATAAAATATTCAACAATATGCGCACCTCAAAGTGCTGCAAGTGAAACAAACTAATGGAGAAATACAAGGCGCTGATTGTACTCTCAACCGATCCCCTTAATAAGTACCGTTAATTTCGATGAATTACTTCTTCCAAAACAACGAGTGATTTTCCTTTGTCGTTCTTATGGTTTCAAATTAGATTCAACCAATCACTGATCTTAGTATACGTATTTCTGATTGGTTCGCAGCTCGACGCACATAGTTGGTCTGTTTGGGAGTAAATAATACACAGAAGTGAACATTTTGTTATTCACCGGTGCGACATGTTAGACGGTCCCCGGCGTCGTCATGTTTACAGGAACACTGAAACCGATTCAGCAAAACCGGTTTCAATAGAGTACAAAATGAGCAGACAATCATCATCGAAATACGTGCCGTATATTCATCGTGTGCGATTTGCACGGCGTAAAAAGCCGCAGTCGTGGACTGTAATATTTTGTGAAGTGGCTCTCATATTCAGCATACTGATTGTTTGTTGGTATACATATTATCATTCTGAGAGCTTGCATCTTCATATAACGCGTTTTTATGCGAGAATTGGTGTATCAGTAAGTCACTCTTTACACATTTAGCCACACAGGGCTTTTCTAATTTATGGAAGACATTCCAGCGTAACATATCAGTGCTTGAAGGTAAATTCCAACTAAAATCTCAGAGGCACTCAGAGAAACAGAGTTTAATCAATCCATAAAAGTACTATGCGCTCCATGGAAAGGCAGAAAGCGAGGGTTATAGTTGTTCTTCGGTGGTTTTACTGCTTTAGTATTAGTCCTTGTTTTCATTGTGATGGAAGGAAGCTTATTATTTTGACAGAGATCTACCTCTTTGCTCTCATATTCGACCAATGTAGGCTATTCAACGGATTCCAGTTTTTTCAAGAATCATAGTCGTGACGTTCATCTGAAAGACGCTTGGTTCTTCGGTCTCTGCTAATCATTTGTCAAATGGTAAATGGATGTGGTTTTGATGACGGAGGTTATTCTAGTGTTACGTGGGTTTGAAAGTTTGCAAACCAAATGTTTCAACAAACATTCGTTTTACAGAGGAACTGAGGCCTCGGGATATGTGGAATACGCATTGAGACACCGAATAGGTGTACATAATGCTGGCCGTCGGTGTCAGCCGTTTCACTTTATAAACTGTTTTAAGGGAATTGTACAATAAACTCCAGCAATGGATAGCCTTGCCTAGTTGAATAAAACACGAAATTGTGCGTTCATATTTTACCGTTTCTCTTCATAACTGATTAAACTCCCACCTTATCAAACACAATTTTTTCATCACTTCCGATATGGTTTCGCTTCATGGTATGAATAGTGTTTACGAACCAATTATCGGATTTTTTAATTTGTAAATTTTTCTGATTATTGGTTTAGTCATCAACATCGCATAGATCGAGTTGAATCTCTGCGAAATGTGCAACGTGAACTGTTTGATCCAAGCGCATTAGATAAGTACTTAGGCGCACTAAACTCTACTAGCCTACTACTTTAGTGGCCCCCAGTTTGGTCTGTTTGGAATGTTACTAATTATAAAATACGATATTCTAGCGGTGGTTCCTATCTGACAAGTTCAGTTGAGAAAGTAAACTGTAATTAAACTAGTCAAGGAAGGAGCGAATAGCCATTTAGTTACTTTGAGTAAGATAAGGGGTAATTGGGCAGAATCAACAATGCGTTTCGGGTCATGAGGACACTTTGGAGGCTTTATTTTATTGCCAGGTGTCCCAAAAATGAGAGAAAACCGTGATTGGTGCACTGAGGCCCCTAGAAAATGTTTTCCTTTTGAATGGTTTCTGTTTTACTTAAGAATGAAAAAGGTTTGTTGATAACTGGAATGTCAAATCCTGCAGGCATAGCGTGTCTCTTGGTGAGTTATCATCTGAGAGAACGCATTTCCCTGCAACTGGGTATATTTTATAACAATGTAACATAAATCTGATCAACTGAAAATCGTAGAATACTTGTGATGTACATGTGCAGATCTTCGCAAAAAAATTCACTAGCTTTCCCTTTGCCCGCAACCCCTTTATCAGAGAGCCCAAAGTTTGCTCAGCCAACATTTGCTACACAGTGCACAGACCGAGGATGAAATTCGCGAAGCGGTACACTGGTTGCGGGAAGCAGCCAGAAAAGGTGATCCGTTGGCTGGTTACAATTTGGTCGTGGCTCACTTGAAACAGCACGCTAACGCATCCGGATTGACCATGAATGATGCCATGCAAATGTTGCAGCACGCCAGCGATCACGGAATCTCGGAAGCTGGACGATTTCTGAATCACTGCTTCGGAGGATCAAGATGCATGGAACTGGAACGTAAATTACTGGACAACTAAACGGTTTGGGATGCCTATTCAAGAGAGACAAATAATTGGAATGCATTCTTCGTTTGACCCGATTAGTGCAGGTTCTCACCGTTTGATTTGCCTGAATACAGAGAACATTTTTGAACTGCACTGACTTTATTGTTATTGCAAAATTTTCGTATAATTTCTCAATATCATCATTGAAAGTGATAAAATGTAATTCAATTTTTATATGTAACTGAATTTCATCAAAAATACAAACAGTAAAATGTCTATTTGAAATTTTACTAATGTCGACATCTGTCAAAGGATGTGTGTTGTGTTATATTGGCCATCCTAGATGGGATAACACGAAACAAATATCAAATCCTTAGACTTCAAAAATGATATTCCATCATTCTTTTGGTGAACTTCCCTATAAACTGTAGAAATTAAAAATTAATTGAATGTTCTAGTTCAACCCATTTGATCGTTAGATTTCTAATGATATACTCTGGTATGCCTTTTAACATTGGCTGTCTCACATTTGGTAAAGGAAGGTGTAACCCGTAAATAGTGGTTTGAGAAGAGCAGAAAAGAGTTGTAATTTCAGTGAGCCATCGCGAATTCACAATGTGTATACCATTTATTTGAAGCACACTGAGGAACGGCTCAGTTTAGACATAATTATTTGAATCAGGAGCGCAGCGAACTACGTGATTCCCCATATTTCGTGTGTCGGCGATTAGTGAATGATGAGATAGGATAGGTTGCTGAATTTGACCTGAACCAATAACCGGGTTTTAATCCCACCTAATTCGCTGAAGGGGCATTGGTGAGAGAGCTTCTTTACTGTTTTTAAAGTTTTTCTATTGATGAGGGGCACGTTATATCTGCATCTTTAACTAACTGATATGTCAGTTTTGCTTCTGATCACCAACTGACGCAAATTCACGCTCCATTCCAGAAGTATTCAAAGATCCAATGCGGTTACTGTATATCGTCGCAAATAACCACTTTGAGGCATAAAATATCGAACACACCCGTTTTATCGTTGTCATCGCCTTACTGTCCGGTGTCTGTGACCTGTCCAATGGTCGTCCAGCTCGTAATGCTTCTTTTTCTTCTTTTAGCACTTCCACGTATGTCTGAAGATCGTGGATACGAGTCTGAAAGACAGCAATACTAAAATGTATCTCTCAGATACCAAAAAGATCTCGAAACGTACAAATTTACTGTGAGAAAAGCAGAAAATTTGAATCGAATTAAATTAGGATTAACAGAACATTCAAACCAAGAGTAGCTTACGTAGTGAGATATGCATGATATTAGTTTCTAGTACATCAAAAACTGTTTCGTTTAGCTCAGTTCAATCTATTTGAAATAAACATTTCCCCGACGTTTTAGTGTGCCGTGTTCGATTGTTATCGTTTGGCTTTCTATCAGATCAACCATCGAAAATACAAACGATGCGAGCAGTAGAAATAGAAGGATACCAAATGCGGGTGAGGTAAGTGCGTATTAAAAAGTGAAAACAATATTAGGTTAGAAAACCATATTGAAATCTGTCCTTGACTTGTTAATTAATTTTTGTCCAGTTTAATTCCCTGGTTATTCGCGATTCGGAGCTTCATAAAATTCAGCCACCAATACACGTTTTGTCTTGTAGAGGGAGTCACGTATCCAGTATATCAGAGCACAACGGATGATTACTCTATCCACGATCCACTATATTGATCTATCGCATACGCAGCCAACAACAATACCCGGATGAAATTGAGTTGCATATGGAAACATCGTTCCTATGACAAAGACAATTGTTAATGAAGTCGCTATAGCTACCATTAGTTCACCAGACACACAATCAATGAGCAACGTAAATAACCCATAAAAGTTTACCGAGAATCAACGGTTATTCCGCGCACAATTCTACTTCGCACAGGGGAAAATCACATAATGCTTTACAAAAGGATTTGGGCACGAATGCGTAATGAGAAAGTGAGCTACTGGAGAAGCTGCCGGTAACCTCACTTGAACTCTAAGAAATCTTTGATGTAACATAATCTAATTACAACCATTATCGTTTCAATCGTCAGCAGGTATTTAACTATTCACTTTGTGAAATGACTGCATGAAATCCCTAATGTTTTACAATAAAAATCAAAACAACATATACCTTCATTCGTGGCACATCAGCACGGAGGGTTTCCAACTCAAAACGTAATTCCAGGTTCTCTTTATTCAACCTTAGCAGATCCTCTTGCAAAGCGTGTTCCATACGTAGTTGGTTTTCTGTCGTAAACCCTTTTGTCTTCAGTTGTTGTTCAAGTGCTTTAATACGATCGGTAGCAATGCGATTACGCATTTCCAAAGCCTAAAAAGCAAGACGTACAAAATGGGATGAGTTGGAACGACATTCAAAGTATCAGCGTGTATCCGCTTGTTCAAGCATAGAAATAAGATATATAAATAAAAAGTTGAAATCGTGGGTGCCAATTCTGGCAATCAGCTTAAAATAAGGTGGAGGTTTTTAAAAACTGTCTATGGTTCATGTTCTTTTTGGTTATACAATGAGAAATATTTCCTTAAAAATCAGTCTAATTTCATTTCATTTGCTCTGTACAGGACAGAATTCACGATTAGATTAAACCAGATTTTCAACTTAGCCCAAATTTTATTATCTGTCTAATCTGTTAGCAGTTTGAAATACGTTCCTCCGTTATTCGTATATTCATAAATATAGTAATGATAGCCCACTTCCGAATTTCCTCAGTCAAGGAGCTGGATTAACCTATCCGATCGATGACCACAAGAATCATTTGTTCCTTTTCTATAGTTTAATGAGACTAGGAAACAATTTAACGTGGAAAATCATGTGAAGTCCAAGAGTGATTTGTGCATCCTTTTGACAGTGTATACTAGATTCCTATCTAAAAAGTGAAACAAATACTTCTGAAGAATAGTCTCTGCGGCCAGTGCAAGTGCACTACCATGGTTCCTATTGTTATATATTTCTTTAGATCTAATTTCTGCAGGAATGACTGGCAATAACTGCCTTAGAAATACCGTGTGAGACAAAGAAGAACCTATCAATACGACAGTGCACGAACGTTTTCCATTTCACTTAGTACAATCTGAGAGCAGATTGAGTAAAATTCTACTCATAGTGTTGTCAACGAAATAAACAACAAAAATATTTTTCACTAATTATTTCATTTGGTAGCAACCAGCCAATTCACTCGCTGAGATTCAACTTTGATGACGCAAGTAGCTTTCACTGAGTTCTGAATAACTAGAAATATAAACATTACCTTGTCTTCACAATGATAAATTTCGTTCGCATTTATCGACTAAGCATGGCTTTCGATTAAAATCCACCCTATTTTCTGCAACTTCAACGGACTAAAGTGCCGGTCTCTTGCACTGTCCACATACTAAATCATGAGCTGCCCAAATAAGGTGTCCAATTACTGATCCACCAAATTTACATTCTCGTGTATGAGGAATTCTTGAACTCCCTTACCACCGGGATGATTATAATCAGTAGCTAGAGATACTGAATGGTAAAAGGTGGCGCTCAGGCATCCCTTTGATTACTTGACAACCTTGATACACTGGAATTCTCCGTCTTCCCTAACCTTCTCTTTAACCTTCGAATCTTTCTTCTACCTCTTCGTTCAAATGGGAAGGAAAAGACATCAACCACAACCGGCGCAAAACGTGCAGGGTCAACGCTTGTGCAAACCGAATTGAACTGACCTACGTTTGTCGTTCAAGCCGTTATTACGTAACATAAACCCCACCCACACTCTTAGCATTCAGCGAAGCAATGTGATTCAAGCTGCGTAATCTAGTTTGTATTCACGAACGTTTCTAATGCAATCTGTTCAGTTACCGTCGAACTGATTCCCCCTCCATTGACTACCGTCCGTTGAACCGATGCACTTATCAAAACCGTCTTATTTGTTGTTGTTTGTTTTACGTTGTAGAGAATGAGGAGATTAAAAGAAATGTTAACATCTCGCATTGTTTGTCTTCTGTTTGTTCTGACATGTATTCACCGGAATTCTCCGCCATCGAGAATCACGTACTGAAGAGAAATAGATATTTTTCATCAATTTCCAGATGACCCAATTGCTGATGTGATTCAATGCAAATCCCTTTAAATAGAATAAATAAATTGTGAACTGTGACAATAAAACGTAATGTCGCCACTCGACACGGATCGGCCAGCTATGGTAATAAACGTTGACCAACTCGCGTCAAATTGTTCAGTGCAAGACATTTTGTTCTATACAGAATCACAAAGATTTCCTACATTTTGATGAAGGGTAACCCTTACTGTTCATATACAATAAGACTGAAACCACTGCACGCTACCGTTCGCGTTGCTATCTCGTCATTATTCTCATACCGTTTGTGACGAGTTTCGGTTCGAAATCAAATTAGCTTCCAAATATCCTTTATTAAAATTGCCTCCATTTTCTCCTGTCTATTAATCATAGCGGCTTGGGCTGTTATTAAATTTTCAGCCGGAATAAATACAACCGCTCAAGCTCAGGGAGTGGAATGCTTATTGACACAGATTACTATTGATCCTCGAGAGAGATCCTCGCGTAACATCAAAACTCACCTCAATTGCGACTGTTTGATCCGTGACGACCTTCGTACTGGGTGAAAGCTCTGCTGAGATTCTTTCTGCTCGCCGCAAGCGTTCTACTTCGATTTTTAAGTCCTCGACCTGTTTGTGCAAGGAAACCCGTTCGGAGGCGTCGATAGGTTGTTTTGGTTGATTAGTAATATTTTCCGAGTTTCCGTCAGGCAAAGCTCCGGGACCCCATCGGGCTTGAACGCGTGCACGAAGTGTATCGTTTTCTCTGAGGAAATATGAGCACATTGTGAAAACGTCTTCATCTTTAGGTAACATTGGTTGCCTGAGACTAATACCATACTGCTGTGTGATTTCTGGTGCTTTATTGGAGTGCTTGAAAATCCAAAACAGCTTCATAATGCTCATGACCGTTGCAGGAGTTTGCTTAACTTTGTATATATATATATATATATTGAGTTGAAGAATGTTATGGCATATTTTTTTCATTTACGCTCTATCGAGCTCGAAATATCGATAGAGAGATCTGAACGCATTCGAAATACCAACATCCACGCTAAGCAATGTCTATCAACTTCTTTACCCAACGACTATTGCTTTCCTTTGGGACTCCAGCAGGAAATCAGTAGATACCAACTCAAAGCTCTTCCAAATCAAATTTCCGGTAATCACTTTTTTTTTTCAACTAGGTATGCTGTCGTCAGCATTTCAACAGTATTGGGAATCGGAAAAAGGAAGGATATCAAAGGAATGTATCGTCTGACTGGTCCGCAAGCAACTGACTACTTTATATTTCTTTCTTCTGCAATCAGTCCAATTATCAATAGATTTGAAAGAAATGTCTAAAAATTATTTTACATTTTATAAGTTTGAAAAACGGAACACAAAGAGTGAAGCACATGAATAGAAAATAGTGGCTAGAAATCATCGCGTGATCGAAACGTGATATCTGAGAACTTCTATTCCGTTGTCAGTTGGTTGTAATTTTTACTGCAATGATCACAACTGGTGCCCGTGAGTGGTTAAGAATTAAAGATAGATAATCAGTCATTATTAACATTTCTGACAAAATACGGGTACATCTGCTGTTGTCTATTCGAAAGAAAACCAGAGGACCACGGAAAAATGAGTTCCATAAAGTTCTCAAGCACATGTGTTGAGATTATTCGTTGAGTTTTTTCGAATCACCAACTCGAACATACCAAAAATCCTAATAATGCTGATTTCACACAAAATACTCCGAATATATTTCAGAGTGAAAAAGATGAACGAAAGAAAGAAGTGCAATATACATGGTGTTGCATGATCCAGATACCAATGATCCAAGATCGATTGTTTTGTTCTGGTCGCTTGCCTTATATATTGCAAATTCGCCGTTTTCTTATAAGCTTGCTTCATTCAATTGATTCGCCTGGATTTCCTGTGTGTATTCCTTGTCACACTGGTCCTCGATTCGGCTCCAGTTTATGTATTTGCTGTTTATTATTACATTTAAGGATTACTGAAATTGATTTTTGACTAACTTTCATACTGCATCCCTCACCCTCCATCCTCAGTTTATTCAGTAAAGAACAAGCAGGAAGCACGTGAGGTTCGATATTTGATACTGATAGAGGTCATCACTAGTCGAAATCTAGCGTTTCCTCCAGGTTTCGAGCTCCGGACCCCACACATGAAGGTTGTGTGCTATCGCCGTGCCAACCAGCTCAAGTGAAAATTTTCCACCGGAGTTTGCTTGGTAACCGTACAATTATAATCAATCCTTTTAGTGGGCCCAAAACCTAAGAAATGAGACAATGCATCAGCAATAAAAACTGCATTGAATAGTTTCATAGTCTATGCCAGGCGAGAACCAATGTGTTGTTGACTGCATCGAGTCTTGAGTACGACCGGAGGGATCATATGGTGCGCAATAAGAACATCGTCATCACCCATCTGGATAACGGCCAACAAAATTGGCAATCAAACAGCCCCGCGTAAAGTTGAGGTTACAAGTTGCATAGACCGCGAAAAACTCTCCAAACAGGTCACTGAAAGGTCCAATGGGAGCGTTACATGTGCTGGGGTACTGGTAAGAACGAAAAAAAACAGCCACAACTGAACGACCAGTTGCAGTGTACCTAGTGGTTCATGATATTCCCTTGTACTCGTCCCATCTCATATGGCTATATATCTCATGAGTTCTAAGTCAGCTTTATCATAAGCATGCGGGCTTTTGGATTGCGGTGAACGCGACCAATCTTGTGATTCTATGAGCTTTCACCGGCAGCGATGACGATGCATTGAGCGAAAATGACTTGGCCATTATTTTATCTCATTCTACGAAACTTTTTCCTGCTTTTGTAGGATTGCTCTAATCTCCATCTGGAAATGGATCTGCACTGATTTTTGGCCCAGGTTGCCTTTGGCGGTAATCCTCCAACGAGCAATATATCTTTCGTTTAATTCACTCTTTTCAATAACCAAACTAAAATAGTTGGTCTTATCGAACCGGGATGAGTTATTACGATTTCGGGCTCTGGACTTCTAGAATGCGTTGAGGACAATATAGCCGTTGCTGTTCTAGTTGGTATAACTGAGTGTTTTGAGAAGTTTATGCAGATGATACACTTTCCCGCAAGATATATAAATAGCTGATCAACTTCCAAGAGGTTTTTCTTTCTGAAACGTCGGAGTACTCTTCAGCTTACCCGAGCTAAATACATAAGGCAATCAGGGATTAAGCAGAAGCGTTGGTTCTGATGGAAACCGTGTATGCCAGAAACCCAATTTTGCTTAAAAATCTGGTGATTTTGATACACTGGTGGTTTCAAAATAACAGATCATGTTGCAAATTCTGCACGATTTATGTCCAGGATGAGTTCACTGCTCGTCAAATGATTTACAACGCATTAAGTAAATTAAATTGCGGTAAAATAGATAAACATAAAATGGATAGGATTATGAAGACTACGTCATCAGATTAAGGATAAACTAGCACAATATTCTTTTCTTTGACATGGAGATCATCCTTGGGTTGAGAACAATCACTCCAGCAAATTTGTTACGTTGCGATTCGTGGCTTGTAGGCAATGCAAAACGCACCCATAACTGTCAGAGCTAAATAAACAAAATTGTACAATCTTCATTGAACTCCAGCCATCCAATGACTATCTTTCAGATAAAAGATTGAAGTTGTTGAATCTGAGTAGGGCCCAAATAAAAAGACACGTTTTCAAAAACTCAAAAGCTGTAATTGGCAATTCCGTCCGACCGTTTGAACGTACCGCATCATTCGTTCCAGTGCACCCTTGGTTAGGTCTAGTTGCTTCTGTAAATACATCATATCGGAGTTGAGTTTAACGGACTGATTGCGCAACCTGTTCACCTCGGTCTCCAATCGCTTTCGTGATTCCCAATCAGAAGTCAGATTGTTGTTTCGAGCTGCCTGTGCGGTTTCCTATAGGAAAAAACAGGAATATGCAGTTGAACCAGGCCGAAAAGATGCGTGAAAAGCTTTAAAGGTTCCGCACATATACCTACAGTACAAATATTGTGAACCGATAAATGATAAATGATCGAAATTGCTTGGCGCATGAGGTTTAAAAGATCTTCGTGTAGGAATTAAAGTAATTGGGATTCGATCTTTTCATTAGGACACTAACTATACAACTTGACACGAAAGAATACGAAGAGACGAAGTTCGCCAGCTGATTGCCAGAATCTACGAAAGTATATCGCAAATTAACATCTGGCTCATATAAATTTGCGAATATTAGTGTAAGGCATGTGAAATTGCATGGAATATTTCATTTGTTGAGATTATTTCGATTGGAGTCACCAGAAGGTCAGCTGTATTTCTCTGCTCTATTCTCAGACCCAATGAAGGAATTGATGGACAGAATAAACATAATAAGTGAGCAAATTGATATGGTAATTCCGATCAGAATCTATAAGCGAGGGTTCCGAAATTCAACACCTGGATGAAAAACTGGGAATGTAATACAGATGAGCTATAATAAGAAAAAAATGCCGAGTCCAGTACATTTGAAGTATACCGTACTCTGGAAGCAATGAGAATTGTGGATGAGGGAGAAGCATATTGGATAAGCAGTCGGATCAACAATGCAAAAATTTAAAAGGTTCCTCATGTAACGGACCGAATGTAACTACTAAAATGAAATCTGTCCAACTAACATCTATACAATTTTCTCCTGAATTTGCTCTCAATATTGCAATTTTCATTCTGCTCTTTTATCCAAATGGGCGGCCAAAAGACAGCAACCAAAACCGGTGCACGCACGTGCATGGTTAATGGTTGTAAAACCTGCTCTCATGGTTTGAAAGTATAATGATCTATTAGCAAATTAGTTCGTTCGGAACCACCAGACCTCCATACACGAACAAATTTACGCCTCTCCTTTTTGATATTGGTTGTGTAAAGTCTAGAGGGACGTCCCCTAGTAAAAAGCCAAGTGACTCGTAACGTCCCATGTAACAAACTAAAATGAAACTCCATGACCCTCCCGGGGCCGGGTTTCGCTCCCCAAAAGAGTCCGTCATTTAAACCTGAATAAAACGATTGTTCAGGGTGCCACACCATCATTTCTCTTAAAACTATCTCTTATAATTACGAAACTTACCCGAAGCGCCCGAACTGTTTCTTGATATGGTTTCTCTGGAGCCATACGCAGACGTTTATTCTCTTCCTCCAGAGAACGATTCTTGCAAGTCAAGTCCTCTAATTGACGACGTAGTTGGTTTTCCTCTGCAAGTCTCTATGAATTTGGATTATGAATATCCAAAAGGAGGTTACATTAGATACACGTGCCAACTAAGAAACAAATGTCATAATGTGATACGTGAAACAGCGTTGCAAAGCCATCTCATTCAACCTTGAACCATCACCTTCTGGGTGCTTTTGTAACAAAATCTCAGTATATTTTCTTCCATGTCGAAGTTAGTGAGAATGATGGTTTCAAAACCTTTTGGAAATTTATACGTGGGGTTTTCATTCTTGGGAATCCGGGTCCATACCATAACAGCAGTTGCTTCTTCTGCATGGTGAAATTTGTTTATTTAGACTGAAAAAGAGTCATCCAGAATGCATGCGTAGCCTACGAGTGTCACTGAAGATAACATTTTTCCGGAGCTGCTTCTCTGCCATGAAAAGCAGACTTTCCAGCAAATAACGGTGTTTTTAGTCCACAATATGGTATATGATATAAAATATGGTGGCTTTTGTCCCGCTTTGAACAAAATAATCCAAACACTAAAACATCCGATAGTAGGCAAGGATAATGAAAATGTTTTCACTTCTCACAGAAAATTGTGAATGCGTTCTGGACCATTTCCACGTCACTTCTCTAAGCTACTTTCCAAGTGGAGCCTGCTGGTGAATGCAACTAATGGAATATACGTTGAGACATCTCTCATGGAGACGCCTCATTAGCTACAATCAACATGTTCACTGAAACAACAACTACAACAACCACTTACAGCTCTTCTTTGTGATTTCAACTCCATATACCAAATCGAATTTGAAGGTTACTACAAATCAGTTCATTGAAAGTTAAATGAAAGATCAACAGAGGAATTGCTGGTTTCAATATCACAAAGGCCTTTATATATCTCTCATACAATCGCTTGAACATACATAGAATCTCACATCCAATGTATTTACATAAACGTAAATGACGTTTTATCACCGGGATAAGGTTCCAGATTTCACCTAGAAAGGTTGACAGTTTTTACACTAAAATTCAATTTGATAACTTCTACGATCAAGTGAAGAAACTTTCACCCCATCGTCAGAAATTTATGGATGATTCTGTGCGAAAACGGTAGATATTCCTCATTTGTACTTTGCTTTGCCGATTTGGAAGCACTGCGACCACTTCAAACACTACCAAGCAATACAAGAAGTGAAGCATGTGTCGGATCTCAGATTCCTCAAGTCCGATGAAGGATCTGGTACATTGGATCCAGGGACAATCATATAAACACGTAGAAAAAATTCTCCTGGACGACAGCAAGTTTGAAGTAGACAAGACACCAGATAACAACTACCTCAGTGAAAATCCTCTCGGAAGAAAGTTACAAACCCTGTTACCATATGACTATATATGCACCCCAGTACAAGCAACTGTAGTTACTTGGGACAAAAACACTATCCATGTTTCCTTCAGGTTTCCTGATCGTGGGATTCCTCTCAGACCAATGTTATGTTTGCAGACGTCGTCCTCTCTCTTGACTGTTGATGGACATTCTAAATCCCATCCATAAGTGTTCAGCATTTGATTGTTTAAGGTTTGTTTGAACTTTTAAAATGCTCAGAAAAAATGGCAATATACGCANCACAGAACATTTATTCCCTTCATGAAACAATTGATTTTTGTGATTATATTTCATTGGATGAGTTTTCCTCTGCCACTCCTCTAGAACGCTTAAGCAAAGTAATACTTTTGTGTACTCAAATCATTTATTTTGCATTTACGGGATCCATATACAAACAAATTGATGGGGTAGCAATGGAAAGTCCATTAGGCACAATTCTAGCAATTTATTTTTAGGAATGATTTAAAATAACTTGCCCATAATATCTCCCAGCCCCCCCTTGTATAAACGACATGTGGATGATACTTTCATTGTTACAGAGCGTGAATATTTGAAATCCATTTTACAAGAATTTAACTCTATTGATCTAAATGTGTCCGTATCCAATTAAAAAGAAACCACTACTTTCTTAGCACTTTTTTGATATTAGATTTACGAGGCATTTAGTTGGTACCTTACAAATTTCTGTTCCCTTAAAAGCACTATTGAGTGGTCAGTTCCCACAGTTTTCTAGCTGCTCGCCTGGGGCCTACAAACGTGAACTTGTAAAAGCTGCATTCTATCGAGCCGGAAAAATTTGTTTCCATAAAATTTGCCAGCAGAAGAGGAGTTCCTAAGGAAAACGAAACCATTACACGGAAAGATTAGTTGTTATCCATAGTAAACAATCTCAAAAGGGTAACCCATCTCCAACTAGTTCCCAAAAAGCAATCTACGTCAAATTGTTTTTTAAGGGCGATCACCTTATGAGCGATGTGCGGCAAAAGTTAAGGTGAGCTTTGAACTACAGATTCCCAGCAGCTCAAAGTCGAATTAATGCCTCTATCCGTGGAAGGGATTTGGATAAACGTAAACATAGTTGGCGAGCCAGTTCTATCTGACACAATGTATGCCAGTTTACTTGCAGTTACAGTGACGCATACATGGGCAGAACCAACCATCAGTTGTCCCAACGAATAACCGAACACATTCCAAAGTGGTTAGCGAAGTTGACGACTTAACCCACTTTCGATAATCAGGCGGTCACAAGAAACCTTGGGTCATCCATGGAAAAAGCACATCATGACAACCAGGCATACATAGGACCCCGTTTCCTCTCTTAAACCCGGGTTAGGTAAATGCGGTGCGAAACTGTTGGTAATTGGAGAAGTGTTGTTAATCTGATTACATCATCCTAGTTTGGGCACCCAAAACTTTTGACACAATCAGTTCACTTACCTTGTTCTTTAATATGAATAACCCCCGTCAATCTGTACACGTTCTTTGACTAGGATTTACCAAACTAAAATGCTATATATGCGCCGTTTTTTACTTAAGCGATTGAGAAGACTAAATGAAATAAATTTAAACCGATTTAAAACGTTTCCAGCCAATGCGTATTATCACTCACTCTCGTTTGCTTCATACGATCCAATTGCCTTTTAAGAGTTTGACATTCCTCGACCAGGCGTTTGTTTTCTGTTTCCAACTGCAATGTCTTGGCCGATGTAGGATTTGTTGAAGCTATCCGGATAGCTAAAGAAAGAGAGTCATTGAGGGGCACCAAAAGTTTGATTAGCTCGTACTCTATCGATGAACTCTTACTAAACCCTTTCGTAGATGAGAGAGGTGAGGTCAACGAAGAAAAACCGCCTTACTTGGTTTGAGTGATTTTGTTGCAATCTTTTTCATGCCTTCCCGCAGATTCAGATAGCTGTGTACTTGTAATGAAGTTTGTTGATTGGGATCAGTGGGCAGCCGAATAATGTCAGACACAAAATCTTGATTAAAAATGTCAGTGACATCAGTTCACACGTTAATTCTCTAATGCTGTCATTGACATACATTAGAGTAAAACTTAACGCTTTTGATTGTTTTGATTCCGCTAAAGATTGCACAACACACCATGATCGCTTTTACGGATATGGAATAACGAATGAGTGAATAAAATTGTGAATTGTTCCAGTTTAGTTTTTCATTTCAGTTCATTTAACCGAAAGATTATTGTAAGGTTTTACGATTAACATGACTGTCGATAGACTTTTGATGTTTGACATTGAGACAAAAATAAAAACATCTTTACACATCTTGCAGAATAACACTGAGATAAAACTACAAATTAAATTTAAAATCAGGACCCATGACACAGAGTTCAACTCTCACTGTAAATAAGCACGCGGTGTCTGACGTTAAGCTTCTGTAGGTCGATAGTCATAGCTTTTAGCCAGGTGAAACCGCTGGTAGGCAGACACTATTGGGCTTTTGATTGTGCATTTTCCGCTGCTAACAGCCGGTTAATTCTTGTATACTCAGAGTTCAACGTGCAAGATAATACAAGATTAGGAAACGAATGAAAATATTACTCAGCATTGTGCATGGAACTGCTGAAATTGGCTTCCGGTTCAATCCCATACTAGACCCTTTACTGGGTTCAATAACTGCAAGTGCAAGGGCGTATTTCGGCAGTTCTCACAACTGAACACTGAATATGGTGTTCATCCTACAAGAAGTGGGTCTCAAATTGAACCGCGATCATTTTGGACTATCGCTGCACTCAAGGAAATCATTTAGATTATGAGTAAAAAGATACAGACGAAGAGTTACCTTACCTTAGGCTGTTTTCACTTATTACTGATTAGAAATCACTAGCGAAATCCCGGTATTGTTAGGGTCGATAAAACATTACCATGTAGGGCATTCCATGTTGAATGATATCATTACGGATGATGTTCTGACAAAAGATCTATCGTTTAAAATTGACGAACCACAATTAGTTGACACTTCTTTATAAGCGGAAAGGAATAACATTATTAAGGTATGTCTTCGAGCTCAAGGAAATAATGATGGAGAGCTTTGAAGTAAATGATGTTTAACTTCCCTATGTGATGTATATTAGAAGTCTTGCAGATACGGTTATTGACATGAGTGGCAGTTCCGATTCTGAACAATATCACGATCATAACACATTTTCGCATTATGCCTTTCCAGTAACCGGTTGAGCTAGTGAACAAAATGGCGAATTTTATACTCTCCTATTATTGATATGTGGCTCAGACACACTAGGTTGGTGTAGAGTTTGTTTCAAAGGAGTTCTTACCATTCACTTATTGAATAAATATGGAATAAAAATCAGGATGACAATTTCTCAACAAGCAAATATCATATATACTGGGAGATAGAAACTGTCCAAGCTTGAGCAACCTGATTTACAAGACTGAATTACTCACATTCCCTTTGTGCTTCGTCATTGGCTGCGATCACCGCGCGAACCGAGGGAACGGTACTCACTGGTTTACCAGCAACCTTCCGAATCATTGATGACTCTTTCACCGGAGCTGAACGGACCGGATTATTTGCGCTGGTGACTACTGACTGCTCAGCCTGAACCAAGAACTCGCGTCGTAGATCAGCAAGGGCCTTAGACAAAGCCTAAAATGTTCCAGGATAAATCAAGACAGAAACAATTAACTGGGTATAAAAGAGAAGAAAGAATGCACCGATAGAGATGACTTTAAAATCGATTGAAACCTTCCGCATAAACTAAAACTCATACTTGTGTTTGTAAACCTGATATTACATTTTCATCAGTTATGAACACGGTAGAAAACCAGTAAAGCTGCCATTGTCTCTTAAGCTGCGCATTTATTACTCTAAATGAAACACTTCATTTCCTCATAATAAATGGATTCTCGTGTTCGCTGTATCAAACCAACTTGCCTTCTAAATAATGTAATTATTTCTTCATTAATTTGAGGAAGTTAGACTGAAAGTCATTCAAAATGCACACCTACCTGGTCACGGTTGAAGATTCCATCATGTTGATTCCGTTTTAACCGCTACTGGAATCGCCTTTTTTTCTAGCACTTGCGCTACTTTATTCGCTTATACATTGGTTGGGCGAAATGTTCGTAACTAGCCGTTCAACCGGTTGAAAAGAAACTTTTTTGTCTAATTCACATTACAACTGTTGTATTTTCAAAAGTGGCGTTAGTGATTTAACCTTAAGATACTAATTATTTTCCTGGCTCTATTAAAAGTTTCAGAACAAATACCAATGAATAGCAAGAGCAGAGCAGAATGAGTCAGCTGAACTCGCTTTTGATATTTTTAAGATAAACGTTTTGTTAAAACTGCAGAGTTGTGCTTTCTTGAGATGCAGTTCTCTAGGAAAAGTGGAGGAAACGCGGTCTGTCTGAAAATGAGGGAATTCCGATACAACAAGTATCGCTACAAACTTTGAAACAGCTGCATTAGACCCGAAGTAGATAACTCACAAGCGCGGATGATGTCACCTAGGCTGGTGATGAAACGTTTGCACACACCGCCAAGCTCGGGGAACAGGCAAAATGGAATTCAGTTCACGAGAGCTACTGGAACCGATTTTCAATAATTTGTCAATAGTATAAAAATCTGCTTCTGCTGACATGCATCCGAACTTTGAGATGAGTGAATCAAAGTAGGCGGTCATTCTGAGTCGTGCCACCGCTTCCGGTGGAGTAGAAAACTTGATCCTTTGCCCTATGCCCCTCCCTCCAGGCAGTATCCTCATGTCAAAGTGCATTCGCTAATACATTATCAATGTTTTCCTACCAACTAGAATGACCATTCAACCAAGCATTTGACAAGCAAAGACTAATTGGATATGAATGATGTTGGTGTGCTTCTGACGGAAGGGCATAGCAGATAACTCGCAGAATCCGGTGACAACCAAACGCTTAGATACACACTTTGCCGGCGTGAGAAAAACCGTCCGAACGAAATCATTGTCGTTAATAAAATGGTGAATACTTGCTGGATCAAAGAGTTCTAAAGGTCTTCTTTGGTATTAAGTAGTAAAGCATATGAAAATGAAACTTTACGACCATGAGATTCAACAATCGTTCCAAGTGTGTTCGAAATTTAGTTTTTTGTGTGTATTGACTGATATGAATCACTGGAACCTAAAACAGCCCACAGCTTGAATAACGTAGCATTGTTGTTATCCAGTTTAAGATGATTTTGGAAGCACAGTATGGATTTGAATGGAAAAGTCAAAAAATCAGGTTGCACCGTATATTTTGGATTATTTCACTGCATCTATACACGTGCAGTTTGTGATTATTAAGGCTGAACCTATACCGCCAGTAGGTTGATGAAATTCATTTTTTGCAATACAAATGAACACGGGGCAGCCAAAAGACAACAACCAAAACCGGCGCAGGAATATGCGTGGTCAATGGTTGTACAAACGGAAACTGAACTGATTTGAACGCACGAACATAACATTAACATGCCAAAATGAAATGCAAGATGGTATTGCCTTTCTGGACTTAGAAGATTCCAGTCGAACGGATGGGTCAATCAGAAGATCTGTCTACCGTAAGGATACCTCGACTGGTCAATATATCAATTTTACCGGCTTTGCCTCAATGGGATCTAATATTGGTTTAATCCGAACGCTGTTCTACATGGAGCGGCAGATTTGTACAGCAGACACCCTGGATAAAGAATACGATAGAATTCATTTCATCATCTAATGGATATCCAAAACGGTTCATCTCAAAGCACTCTCAAATCGGCTGTAGACTGGAAAAGATACCAGATGCAGACAAAATGGGGGCGTGTTCTTGCAACTGCCCTTCAAATATGACGGTATAAGCTAGCTGATTACCAAGCGGCTAAATAAGCCATTAGGTGCACCTACCACGTAGCTGAACCCGTAGTTGTTTTCATAAGCGCCAGGTTGCCAACACCCTCGGTGAAAAACTCACTGTACCCCTCCTATGCCAAATCCGATTGTATCTATATCGTGCATATTCAAAATGAGAAACCCCATGATCAACTGGGCTATGTGGAGTAGGCAGTATGCTTGAGATCTATCTCTGAGTTCCGGGTTCAATCCCCAGTCGTATCAATGGATTTGTGTTGGTGCTGAGACCCAATCTAGTGAAAACAGCTGTCCAGTGCTTCCTATCTTTTCCGCTAACGCCTAATTCACACGAAGAGTTCATCATATGCATTAATTGTATCTAACAGTTCAAGTAGGGATGCTCGGCTATCTAGATAAAAATAACGGAGAGACAACTTCGATATCGGGTAAGTGAGCCCATTCCGGTTTGGCTTTAGAGAAAGAGTGGAAACTATGGTATTATGATGTCACCGATGTTCTGTAGTTCATTCTTCACAAAACACTGGTCAAATGAAGCATTGTGTCATGCTGCGTGTCGCGTTTAGAAGCCTCTACAAAACAAAAACGTCACGATTCGGAAACACGCCGAGGCACGATCGCCAACTATGTAAACAGCGTGAATGACTAATCAGCCTGGTGCTACCTAAGCATTAATTATTGATGACCATATATTAGTGATTACATAAAATGCAGTAGGAAGGTGTACAATTATTGATTTTTCTATATTTTTGGGTCATGAATGTGTGAATTGTAAATTTTCTCCTAAAGTGTTATTCTTTAGGTGATTCAGAAGGAAGCAAACATTTCCATTGCATTTGAATGTATTACCTCGTGGGTTTAACACAGAAACCTACTGATGTTGTCCAAGGTATTCAACTCAATAATTACGTACACTTGCAGTTCTGTCGATACTAGGTTACCAAATGGGTTTGGTAACTAATACGTGGCCACAAGGAGGTTGATGTATGAAAAAAGCTTATTAATTGGATGAGAATAACCTACCAGTGATGAACGGCGATTCACATTTGGCGTCGCCTACGTCTTCCGCAATCGAATTGTAGTTTTTTAAATTTGGGAGCATTTGTATTATTTTTTTCACAATGCAGCTACTGACCGACGTGTTTTGGCCCAAAGGCTAATCAAGGGTATGTGCAAAGAGACATCACACCGTACACGAATAAAATGGAAAGTTTTCTGGCAGCTGCTATCCAGAGGCGATGATATAGTCAAGTTGTTTGCAAGCCTCTTCAGATCGGCAATGAAGGATTCGTACAGTGCGACGTCGCAACTAGTGGCGCTTATGCACTTACTCATTATTCTCGTAACACTAGTCTATATGAATTTGCTATCTTCCGCTTAAATTCGCTTTCAACATTCCAATCTTTATTCTGCTCTTTTATCCAAATGGGCGGCCAAAAGACAGCAACCAAAACCTGCGCACGAAAGTGCATGGTTAATGGTTATAAAACTGAACTCGACTGAATAATGCCGCCGGCACTGTTCTGCTCTACACATACAAATGTATACCCCCCCCCCTACCACTACCGGTGCCTATCATCTTACACCTTTCGAATTTCATGGTTGTGTTCGTTTACTTCCTCAGACCGAATGTAACGGCAACGCGGACTGACAGAGATTGAATATGTCCCACGTGGATGAGCACTTTTGCCAGCAGTTTAAACACGACAGTTGTGAACTTATTTCCGGTCATATTACCTATTTGTTGTAAACATTTATTTTACATAATTTGTATCAGGTATCTGATGAGAAACAATAAAATGCATCAAGATACAACTTCTACAGGCTAAGTCTCTTGAAATAACCATTCTTTTGCTAAAAGTACGTTGCATTATTGAAAAACAATATCGAAGATTCAATATTTATGTAAATGCAATCCGACTATGAAAAATTAAGGGACTGTAGTTATTGCGTTGAACATCTTTGACATCAGTAGGCTACTGTAGATACGATTAAACACGGTCTTTATTTTTTGATATTTTTCTCCTCACTATCATTGTCTTTTTACCGAAATAATCACCTTCATCTGTGATTTGTCTTCACCGACTGACTGACTCGGTGAGGACATCTCATGATCCGAGGTTTGGGCAATTTACTCCCTTGCGAGCGTTGACTTTCCCTGTGTTGAACCGGAGACTTCAATCCGAACCCAGTTGTTCTGGTCAGAACGCGGAGTCAGTCTCCTGAATTCAATGCACAGGATTCACGTTACGACAAAACTACGGTTGGTGATAGACTGACTTTCTTTGCCAATTGGAATCTTGTATAACATTTGTATCTTAGATCTACAGCACCATAATTCCGATTTTGTCCCCACTCTCAGATTATCTAGTAAAGGAAACAAAAACAAGAAAACTTTCCAGTGACTTACTTGTTTCTGTTTCTCTTTTTCAACTAAATCAGCTCGTAGTCGATCAGTGAGCTGGCGTTGCATAACTGACGGCGATTTAGTTGCTTCCATTTTCCATCGTTTAACCTCCTCATCCAGTTCGGCCGCTTTCTTTGTGCGAGTTTGTAGATCCGATTGAAGGCGATCGCATTCATTTTTCAGTTCTGTCAATTTTTTCCTGTTTACATGAGTCATGAAAAGGAATGTTATTGCCCCAACAGTGAAAGCATATAACTAACAACATTTTCTTTTATTAATCTCATTGGCTGTTATTTTTTACCGTCATTTCAAGAAACTGCGTTCTGATACGTCACCGGTACCAACGGTGAAAACCAGCCATGCCGTGAATCCAAGCTTTATAAACTACCTCCTTTTTAAATATCGCGATCATTTCTGTAGAGACTGAAAAGGGTTGTCAATTTTGCAAGCTTATTCTTCTAATTTCATATGGGAATTTGTCGTGTCCATGGCAAACGAATCGTGAACTGAAAAGCTGGGAAGCACCGGACAGCTATTTCGACCAGATTGGGTCTCATCAGCAGTGCGAATCCATCGACCCAACTGGGGATCAAACCCGGGACTTCATGGGCAGAACGCAAGCATGCTACCCACTACGCCACCAAGCAGCGGGTCGGACCGTTTTTCATTTTCCATTTACACGATATAGCACAACCGAATCTTGTAACATATAGCTGGTTGAAGTTAGTGGTACAAAGCACCAAAGCAAGTGCAACTGAACTTCCTTTAGTATGCCGTTGTATATCATCAATTCCGTTTGGAAATTTATAAATCGAACTATGGCATACGATGCATGCGCTATTCACCAGGTTGTTTGTTTTTTATAAAACTCCACAATGAGTATTATCACCATGATTCTCTTGCACAACAAAGGCATTGAACCAAATTTCACTGATTGCTACTGAATCCGCAACGGACGGAAAGTAAGTACGACTGCGTAAAGTGGATGGACTTTACGCCTATGCTGAGGTCAGGGAAGAGAAAATGGATCTCTGTGATTGGTATGAGTATATTGTCTAACTATGTATAAACGCGTGTTCGGTTTTTTTGAAGTGAAAAAAATAAAGAAAACAATTTAACTGCCATGTCCTTATTTGTCCTCCAACCAATAAGTTGTAGTCTTTTGGACTATAATCTGAAATACAGGAAGATACCTGCTTAGCCTAATTTCGTCAGGTCTTTCTTCTTACCTCTTCTCTGTGTCATCTGTTGAATTATACCCACTTTTCCCTATCTTGGAGCAACAACTGCTGATAAAGAACGGTGCGGTAGAAAACTTCTGTGCAAGATACGTTTCCAAACCAGCGAAGCCTACTCATTCGAATGCAGTGTGATAACGAATTTTCTACACCACCATTTCCGAATTCACGACAGCTTCCGAAGTTTATGAAAGCAATCGCCTCATTATACCTACGTTAAACTGGGTGTTGTGTTTGGCGCCTTTTTCGGAGACTCCTTTCCGATTGTCCTACCATGATGGGATACACATTTGCGACCACGTGTAGTTCAGTACCATAATAATGGGGTCCTCAAAATACCCCTCCCCATCCCTGAAAGAGAGATGAGAAGCCCACCAGGTCCAGCAGTGTCTGCTCTTTTCGGAGCTTGATCGCACGATCATATTTCTACTTCCGTTGGAGAAACACAGGACATTACTCATTCAACCCTAGTATCAACAAAGTTTTATTATGAAAATTGATTACTGTCTTATACTTCTCTTGTCCCCATCGGATGTTTACACAGTTCAATAGTTTCTCGGAAAAAATATGATGTCACATAGAGTTCCGGGTAGGAGATAACACATTATGTAGTCTTTAACGAGTTTGAGAAATTAAGGGTCCAACAGACTGGCTGGCATCCGCTGGTATACCCTACAGGTCGGAGCAATCTGAGGCAATCAGAGATATCGGTATTTAAAACATCCGGGTTTTCTTCCGGATAGACAACACACCGAAATACAAGCTGTCTAAAGTCAACGATCCAATTCAAATGCAGGACCAGAGAAACTGCATTTATAAGATCAGTTGCAGGGATTGCCCAGCAGAATATATTGGATAAACATGCAGACAGCTTAGAGTGAGAATCACCGAACATCAAAGAGAAGAAAAATCGAGACCAACTATTGCCACGCAGTCCAACAAACTTGAACGAGACTCGGCAATCGCACTTCACGTCATTGCAGAGGGACACCGTATCGACTATGAAAACACGAAAATTCTCCCACGAGGTTTTCGAACAGCCATCGAGCGCCTATACGCCGAGGCTTTGGTAATTAGTGCCCATCTTGGGTGTGTAAACCGCAATGACGGAGCGGGGGTTTCGAGCATCTGGATAGCGTTAACGTCACTTGCCAGCACTCATCCCAACGCTGATTTGACCTCGGATAACCCCGATCTCACAGAAAAAGCACTTTCCAACAGAACAGATACCCAGACAAGTTCATCAAAGAATATATGAAAACGAAAGGAAAAAAGAGCCAACTGTACACCGTTCCTAAGAAAGGATTATTTATCAATCTGCCTTTTGTCAACGACGGTATTAGTGAACTCTTCGAAAGGCGACTCTCAAGAGCAATAAACTCTACTTTTTACACCGCTGAACTGAAAATATTCTACTTATCCTATCCGGCCATTGCTCAAAGACTCAAGGATCGACGCCACTGTCAACCATTTCTGTCTACCAATTCACTTGCTCCAATGGAGCCAGCTATATCGGTCGTACCAGTCGATAGTTGACTAAACGGATTCAAGAGCATCACCCGGCCTGGCCGAAAAATGAACTATCAAAGACCATTCGTAGCTCAATTGTGGAACATCTTATCAACTCGGTAGATGTTGAAAGGTCATTTAAGGTAATTTACAGAACCCCGATTAATTTCACCATACAACTGCGGCAGATTATGCTTTGCGCAGCCGAGGCGGTAGCGATTCGTATCCACCACCCCGAACTGTGAAAACAAAAACGGATCGTTCACACGTTGAGTATGTCATGGCCCGATAATATGGCGTAATTAAAATTTGTTCAGAAAGTTAAATGATGACCGAATGACCATTTTACGTAATCTGCTTAGACAAGTGATTACAAATAGATAACCCCCCTCCCCCACCCCGGTTTATTTTATCATGACTTTTGTTGCCACCTTGTGATCATATATTAATGTAGAAGCTTGAGAATGAGTAGCTGAAAAGAATTCTTCGCTTCCCTGGTCTTTTCAAACATTGCATAAATGGATGGGCCCAACCCCCCATCCGGATCGGTGACGTGCCCAGAGGCAAGTACAGAGACTTACAGAAAAACGCGCACCGACAAACACATACACACAGTGCGTGAGAGCTTAGTTGGCAATCTTTTCCCGACTCATTCGATTGTAAAATCGCCTTGATAAAGGTTACTCACGGTAACCGAAACGTCGGCTTATTTTCACCTGTGGTGACAAGTCCTCTTGTTGAAACCGAAGAGGAATTAGTTTAATCAACATTGCTTCTAAACTTCTCGCCGACATCAAACCCCGTCGATTGTCTGCCGCACGTGCAGAGTGCACGCGTGAGAACCAGGGTGGTTTTATGCCTGGTCGAGGCTGTAGCGACTGCATCTTCACTCTTCGTCAAACTCTGGAGCACCGACATTCTTTTCGTAGACCCACCA